TGGAGGTGGGAGATGTGCACTACATGCAAAACATCCTCAGTACAGCCTCTCCAGTGCGAAGTTAATAAAACGATGAGCATCTTTATTTTTGACAGTACTGAAAATTTTACCGTCAGGATTTTAAAATACCCTGTGATACCACCTGAGCCTAGGGTGTTGACGATCCATCAATCTGGATCAATATATTGATTCAATGATCAACAATCTAATGTCACGATTCAGAGTGAAAACATTGATCCATGTTGTCATCTTTAGGTTACACCAGCAGCAGCCGAGAGAAAGACGATGAGGATAACGTTATTTACTCAGGAATAAATCAGCAGAGTGGAAATACTTTCAATTATGTAGAAAATACAGGTCAACAGACAAAGAACACGTCATATGGAAACAGTAATGTTACGAGATAAAACACGACGTTACGCTTCCTGCCTGGACCGCCATCTCACGCCGCTAACTTCTCCCTACAGAAACATCAGCTGCTGTTTTAACAATGCTCGGCTGAAAAAATATTCATGCTGAAATTCAACCGAGCTGTTCTGTCAGGAGACACAGAGACTGAAACCACCAGTGAGGAAGAAGAATAACGTCACATGTAATTCATAAGCTGTAAGTAGCTAGCTGCTAGGCTAACTTATGTAAACATGCTAAAGCTAATAATGAGTGACCAACAAAAACACAACTGACATGTCTGTGAACCTCGACAGTTGTTACTGAGCTGAGTTTGATACTTGTGTTAAATGATCCTGTTGTGTTGTGGCTGTTTGGAGATGTTTGTCTTCAGGACTTTAAGACAGAAGTTTGTCTTCAGGACTTTAAGACAGAAGTTTGTCTTCAGGACTTTGAGACAGATGTTTGTCTTCAGGACTTTAAGACAGAAGTTTGTATTCAGGACTTTGAGACAGATGTTTGTCTTCAGGACTTTAAGACACAAGTTTGTCTTCAGGACTTTGAGACAGATGTTTGTCTTCAGGACTTTAAGACAGAAGTTTGTCTTCAGGACTTTAAGACACAAGTTTGTCTCCAGGACTTTAAGACACAAGTTTGTCTTCAGGACTTTGAGACAGATGTTTGTCTTCAGGACTTTAAGACACAAGTTTGTCTTCAGGACTTTAAGACAGATGTTTGTCTTCAGGACTTTAAGACACAAGTTTGTCTCCAGGACTTTAAGACAGAAGTTTGTCTTCAGGACTTTGAGACACAAGTTTGTCTTCAGGACTTTAAGACAGATGTTTGTCTTCAGGACTTTAAGACACAAGTTTGTCTCCAGGACTTTAAGACAGATGTTTGTCTTCAGGACTTTAAGACACAAGTTTGTCTCCAGGACTTTAAGACACAAGTTTGTCTTCAGGACTTTAAGACAGATGTTTGTCTTCAGGACTTTAAGACAGACGTTTGTCTTCAGGACTTTAAGACAGACGTTTGTCTTCAGGACTTTAAGACACAAGTTTGTCTTCAGGACTTTAAGACACAGTGTGTAATAATGTCTCCCATCTAACGCTGAAATCATATATTGCATTCAAACACATAGCGCACTCTAGCGCCTCACTGTTTCAAATGCGTATTGCAACTACGGTAGCTGCTGTGTACCAAAAAGCTATGATAACATTGATGAAACCATGAGTATTCATTCAGGCTGCTACACAGACACACGTGACGCGAGTTGACAAACCCCCTCCTCACCATGCTGGCTGTGTTTACAACGTGGACTGTTGGGGCGGGTGTAAACTGAAACAAACCAATCACGACTTGTCTTTTGACGACTGATGAGTGGCTCAACCTCACACACCTCATCCCTCTCCTCGCATCACTGCGCTGCTGTTAGCTGCTGTTAGTGACGCTGCAGTGATGCAGTGTTCCACTCAAACAGTGGGACTTTGTAGTAGCAGCACCACTAACAGCGGCTAACAGCTGTAATATAATATGATATCGTATCATGATGAAACTGGTGATCTACAGCCCTGCTGTTAATAGCCAGCTGTTTGGAGACAACAGTCTGTATGACTGTGCTGCAGCAGCAGTAACTGTCAGCAGCATCATTTAGAGAGTCAACACACTGACAGTGAATATTCATGTATCTTACGAGTGTGAAGCCTGAGTCAACCCTCTGTGCAACCATCCCTGCATTTTCCTGTTTCTCTTTTTTCTTTCCTCAAAAATGGGAAAGATGTTGGTGATGACGCGATGTCGATCTGATCTGTGTATCAAATTTCAAATTAGTCATGTAACGTATTTCACATAATGTTTGACGTCTTTTGGGATTTTCTATAAACAAATTTAAACCAGCGACCAAAACCACCTATATATTCAAAACTTTTCCAGGAATCTTATGAACCCTGGTGAAACCTAAAAATGTGACAGCCCTGACGTGCAGCGTCTCAGCTGTGAATCTCTAAATTTGCGTCAGACCACTGAGTCAACCATCAATAAATTATTGACAGGCCTGTCTGACTCCCCTCTGTTTATGTACAGAGGGATTGTGGGAAGTCACGTTCAGTTAGCAGAGAAAAGACGGGATGAAGGGTCGTTCATGTTAAGTCAGTCTGAAACACAAGTTTCCATCTGTGTGATGAGGTGTGAAGGTTTGAACTGTGACAGTGACAGTTTTTCGTTTGAACACGTTTCCATGGAGACAGTGGATGAAGTTAAACAGCGTCTGTGTGATTTATGAACGAACCTGAATCAGTTTGTTCTTGTCTGAGTGTGTGACGACTCGACTGAAGGTCCCGCTTCAAAACTTCATCTGATATTAAGAAAACTTTACAGCACAACTCCGACCAACGTGATGCGATCCACTAACGGGAGGACGTCTCACTCTGCTGGATCTGTGGTCGTGTGGCGGTGACACAGAGTGGAGCTTCTCTCCTCACAGACAATCTTGGCCTGTGAGGAGCTCTTCAGCCCGACAGGTTTAATTTTGGCCTGTTATCAAGTTACTCCCAGAATCAGCGTTACTCAGTGTCAGCTGATCCGAGCTGCTGCCGCTGACATTTGTCGGCTGAAAGTGAGAAGCTGCTTCCTGAGTGTTTCTACACTGACGGCTGGTTTCACAGAGAATGGATGGCAGCCGCTGAAAGCACCATGAACTGTGCATCTCTTGCTGCGACTACCTGCACGTCTCAAGGCCTCATTCACAAAAGACGCTGTACTAATGATGTAACAGCACAAATATGTCAATGAAGTTTTGCAGCTGGTTGTTGTCATCCATGTGGCCTTTGTGCCAAGAACACAGCAGACAGAACACTGACAGAGAGAAGAGGAAAGCTACGAGGTTTTTTCTCTAAAACATGTAAATGTCTGGGCGTGACACCCACAGCAATGTGCTTCACTTCCCAACACATCTCTGAGGACACTGATAGTTTCACTGTGACAGTGTGCTGCTGTCGCTGCTGATCTTTGTGATTTTGCAGCAAGGCTCATTTGCATAGAAAGAGGCCAATTCTGCACCAAATACACTGCTGACGAAACTGAAGGGAACACTTAATGGTCACAGTGTAACAGGAAGTCAGTCAAACTTCAGGGAAGTCAGTCCAGTGATTGTGAATCAGTTTCAGCTGCTTTGGTGCAAATGAAAGAGACAACAGGAACAATGTTTTACATGTGGTGTCCACAGACAGTTTACAGTAATACTATTACTTTTTCCAGTAACTAGTGTAACTAATTACTAATAAAATGTCAGTTACCCCAAAACCAAACAACTGATCTTAACGTCTCTGCTGACTTGAAATACAACATCACATCAGCGGATTCATGTTTGCAATCGTCTCGCTGTGCAGTCCCGTCACAAAGCAGCGAGCTAATTATGAAGATGGACACGCTTTTTACCTCAGCAGCTGGAAATATTCCCGTTACTTTGATTTTGTCAGGAGGGAGGACGACAGGAACAACTGTGAAAAACATGTCGTCAAACCTCCGATCTGAAACACCTCGGCTACTACGACTGACAACACAACAACATAGGGCTCCAGGAAATACACCCCACCAAAGATGAGCCCTCCTCGGCAGCAGAGGTCGGCTGTAGCTCTGCACTGGCTAAACAACCCAAACTGGGTTTTACTGGTGGACAGCTGCAGACACAGCGAAGTGATGAAGCTGGCGGTTGGATATGTGGTGGATGAGTGACTCTCCGTCTGTCAGACAGATCTCTGGGAAATACTGCTCACAGGTAACTGAAGAAGAGTTAAAAAAAATATATACTTTGCAGGCCATCTAACCTCAGCTACACTTACCAGCAATCACCGACATTCTCACAGACACATACCTGAATTCTCACAGGATACACAGTAACATAATACAGTTTTAGAGTAAGGATCCCAACACCAATCCTTCCTGACTGATTCTTCTCTAGTTTGGTCTTCTGCTAGTGTCCTTGTCACTACTGGTAGCATGAGGCGAAACCTGCAGCCCAATCAGGTTGATACCAGACACCAGGAGACCGGCCGTTACACCAGGAGAGCTGGACAGGGCCGTAGAAGGGCATCAACCCAGCAGCAGGACCGCTATCTGCTCCTTTGTGTGAGGAGGAACAGGAGGAGCACTGCCAGAGCCCTACAACATGACCTCCAGCAGGCTACTGGTGTGCATGTTTCTGACCACACTGTCAGAAACAAACACTGAGCACATGTGACAGGAGTGAAAGAGTCTGGAGACGCCGTGGTGAACGTTACGCTGCCTGTGACATCATCCAACATGACTGGTTTGGCGGCGGGTCAGTGATGGTCTGGTCCCTTCGTTTTGTTGAGCAGTGTATATTCATACCACCTTGTTTAAATACGTGCAGATATCACAGGAGCACAGTTTGCTTCGCGGCGCAGTTTGAGGAGAATAAAAGTTGCACCACTTCTTTATGTCTTCTTCGTGCAGTGTAACAGCAGCACAATCCTGTAAATTCATTCTACTTCTTTTCTGTGCAAATAAAATAAATAAAATGAAAACTATCTCATCTGCACGTGAATATTTTCTAATCTGGCACGGAACAATAACTATGAAGGGAAATGACTCACATCCAATCATCATCATGGCCACGGCGAAGATCTTCTCTCCATCCGTGTTTGGTGCGATGTTCCCGAAGCCGATGCTGGTCAGACTGGTCATGGTGAAGTACAGCGAGGTGATGTAGACCGAGTCTTTGCTAGGCCCGCCCTCCCAGCGGCCAGAGCCCGAGGCGTTGAACCTGTACGGCGTCCCCACCGTCTCCCCCAGCAGGAACAGCCAGCTGTCCATCCTCACGCTGTTGGTGTCCTCGTCGATCACCTCGTAGTCTCCGATGCTGTACCAGATGCAGGCCAGCCAGTGGGCTGCCAGGCCGAACACGCACACCAGTAAAACCAGCACGGCGGCACCGTACTCGATGTAGTGGTCCAGCTTCCTGGCGACCCGACCCAAACGCAGCAGGCGGACCACTTTGAGAGAGCTGAAGAGACTGCTGATCCCCTGCAGAGGAAGAGGAGGAGGAAGAGGGACAGATGGAGAAAAGGAGACGAAGAACACACAAGAAAAAATGAAGGAAAGATTATTCACATTATTATTTTCAAGCTAAGAGCGCCACCGACGCAGAGATTGTTTGTCCCTGGAACACGACAGCAGGATGATACGAACCAAATCTTCCCAAAATATGTGACATTGAACAAAGTGATGAAAGTGTGATCTGACAGAGACGTGTTTTAAATCCTGAACTGTGACACAGACCTCTCTGTAGAGCGGAAACTTTTATTGATGCTTTTATTTTGTAAATGCTTTTATTGACTGAAAATGCTGCACACACACACACACACACACACACACACACACACAGAGTCCTTTTAAAGAATCTCTGTGTGGTGAGTAAACCTCATCAGTTCCTGTCTAACTAACCACAGTCCTCTTTTGCTCTGGGTTCAGTTTATTGATCGACTGACTGGTTGATCAGTTAGTTGGTCATCTGGTGGATTTATTGATCGAGGCAGCGTTCTAACTGGTCTGAAACACCTGTAGGATTTCTAACTGTACGTCTCATATCCTGTGAGTTAGTCTGAGATTGGAACCATCAGTCGGAGACCCCTCAGTCCACTGAGATTGCTACAAGTCTGGATGTTTTGGTCCCCAGATTCTGCCACAGAGTGAGCGCTCAGAGGAGGAGAAAGTTTCCATCAGGACAAGTAACCTGCGAAAAGCTGCGTAACGGGTAAAAATATGTAAATATATAAATTCACAAGTAAAACTGAACTACACGTGGGCGGGCAGCGGGAGAGACCAAAAATCTTTTTTTTTTTTTCAGTGTAAAAGAAAGTAAAAAGATGTGAAGTATTGTGTAATATGGTGACAGTTGCTTTTATTTTGAAAGTCAGTGACACAAGTGTAACCTTTGACCCCGTGGTAACATTGGTCAGCGACGTGGAGGACTCCAGCCATGACACTTTGCAGCCCGAGGATGAGGTGGCAGCCTACATGGAGTTGGGATCCTTTGGAGGTTTGATGGTGGTGGAAGGAGCATGCTAACATGTTTCCTAACCTGGCAGTGATTGAATGTTTTCACCATCCAGTCAAAGAGACGTTGAATTCAAGAACGGAGAACCAGCGTCATGTGAGGGACTGGAGCCTGGGGGGGTTTGATCATGGGTGTGGGCCGGGTCGCAGGACTTTATGACCCGTGCAGGACTCTGCCGTCAGGCTCCAAAATAACATGATCTTCTCTCTTCTGCTTGGAGGTGATGAATTTACAGCTCACAGATATTTAATACAACACAGTCTCTGGCTTTTGTTTGTTGTTCATTTCGATCCATCGTTAGTGTCGTTAGCTTGTTTCCTATATTACATGACTGTCACTGTCACACTGGACGTCCTGCTGAGCCCTGTTCAAACTTTAAAACTTTATATGAAAAAAATAAAATTATTTAATATCCGTATTAAACAGCCAAATCTGATTAGACTGACATTCTGAGTCAGGTACAGGTCTACTGTGAGTCATGAAAGAACTGACCTGCAGCACTCAGAGTATTCTTCTTTTGACTATTAGACTCTGTGTCCACATAGCGTTTATTTTGCTCACTGCCGCATCTGTATTCAATTGTTCCCAATGAGGAGTGAGTGCATGTGGCCGCATGTGGCAGCCAGCCTTTTCAGAGCGCAGCGCCTTTTTTGTGTGGCTACTCCGAGTGCTTTAAAGCCTTTTTTGGCGGGGCGCTGGGGAACACTTCATCCCAGCAATTCATAAAGAAAAGTGCTGACACAGCTGGTCGCACACAACACTACCAGGTGCAGTTCACTCAGTGACCTCTGGCAGATACCGTTGATTCAGAGAGAACCAGTCGACTGGATGAAGACAAGGTAGAATTTAAGTCGGATAAGATTTTCTTTTGTTGACTAAAGTCCAGTTCTGACCAAAGATTCATGACAAGACGAGTTGAAACAAACAACTACTGTCAACGCTCCGTTCTGTAACGTTGTTAAAACCTGCAGGTTCACAGGAAGTGACCACCATGAGACGGCGTATCGTCTCTAGTCAACGACTCTCTGTGCTTCTGATCTGTAACGTTGACAGGAAGTGACCACCGTGAGACGGTGTATCGTCTCTAGTCAACGACTCTCTGTGCTTCTGATCTGTAACGTCGACAGGAAGTGACCACCGTGAGACGGCGTATCATCTCTAGTCAACGACTCTCTGTGCTTCTGATCTGTAACGTCGACAGGAAGTGACCACCATGAGACGGCGTATCATCTCTAGTCAACGACTCTCTGTACTTCCGTTCCGTTAAGCACATACAGCCAGCAGCAGCAGCAGCGACCCACTGTCCGACACCGGCACACTGTGAGGACATCTGTGGTCATTTTGACTTGACCAGCTGACTTCACTACAAGCTGAATGGCTGTTGAAACAGGTGACGTGCTTTAAAACCAGCCGTCGGCCATTTGACCAGCTGAGTGTCAGGTGACACCATCAGCCGGCTTGAGTCCAGCTCAGACCGGCCAGTTCACACCGCTGACACTTTTCTCTGTGACGTTCTCAAACAGTTTTGTTTCGTTGTGAATCTTTGGTCTGAACTGGACTTTAAAGAGTCCTTAAATTTGAAATCAAACATGATATTTTTCGGTTGTTGCTGGTGGTTACACAGATGACTCCAGCTCTGCGCTCTCCACCTACAGATTCACTCATTTGAAACTGCAGACCTGAGTACTTCCCCAACGCTGCTCAGAGGTCAGAGTATAAAGCCACATGTATGAGTGACATTATGCAACATGACTGGTTCTGACTGAGGTCAGCGGTTGTTTTCATCACCTGCTTTTAAATCCCCCTCCACCACTCTCCATCAGAGCTTTTAAAGTGGGATGGATAAAGTCTGTATGAAACATGTATGAAACATGTATGAAACATGTATGAAACAGCCACTCTGCCTCCTACAGACACACGTCCTCTCCACGTTTGACTCGTCTGTCACCGCAGCCTCTCATCAGCCCACTCAGCCGCCTCTCCAGCTCCTCTCACCAACAACACTGTTTCCTCACTGGAGAAACTCCCACAATGCACTGCTGCTCCATCAGCAGGAGCTGAGAGACAGTGCGGAGCGTCAACGCCGTGACCGATGGCAGAATGAAAAGGTTGATTCCACCCTGATGGGCTGAAGCGAGGGGTTAAATCCCGGGACACTTCATCTCCCTTCACTCAACAACTTTGTTTTTCTCTTCTCTACAGAAGCCCACACAGGACATGGTTTCATTTCTCCTCTTGTTTGTTTTTCCTGTGATGATCGTTATAAAAAGCTCTGTGTTCCTGCTTTGATAATGATTCTGTGATGACGACGGTCAGCTCTGGGTTTTATTTTGATCACGACTCGATAAACAAGGTTTTATGATGTCAGTTTGTCAAACAGTTGGAACATAACGATCAAACCACCTGATCAGGACGGTGACAGAAGTTATTAACAGCACCATCACTGAGTTTAGTTTTTACATGATGTGACGCATCACATCCTGTCAGCTCTGGACCGCACCGTAACTATCAAAAGGAAAATTCCTCAGTATTTCCTCTCCTTTCCTCGCTTCTCCTCCTCCTCTGCTCTCACTTCTTCTCACACTGAATGAAAACAGAAACTTAACATGGAGCTTTACGTCATTCTTAAAATGTATACGCTGCAGGATTTGAGTAAAAAACAATGTCTTCACCAAAAGGCTCTGAACACTGAAGTGCCAAAAACTGCAGTTCTTGTAATGTCCACTTGAGGCTGGCTCCAAGAGCGAGTCAGTCCCCATAGACCCCCCATGTTAACTTGACACAGGGTTCACATTTTCATGGACAACGTTTCAAAACTTTCACTTGACTTTTCAAGGACCCATAATAAAATGTTCATTTCATTTTACATGTTTGATTTTCTTTTTGTCTTCCACGACTTCTCCCGTCGCAGCCGTCACTTTGACCAATAGGAACACAGAGCGATCTGTTGCCATGGAAACTGTAGGACAACAACAGCCCAGCCTTTAAGATATTTCCTGTAGGGACGTTAGCACACAGAGTAAAAAGGAAACAGCAGAGGCACTTTATCAACCCGCTAAGTACTGCCATTAGCATCAAGCTAGCAAAGAATGTTCTTTCTTCATAATGGAGGATATAAAGGAATCAAACTCACAGATAGTGTCTGGTTTCAGGAGAAAAACTATTTGTTTGAGTGAACTGGCCCTTTACTTATATTTGGACATGAGACGAGCACACTTCAGAGCGTGCAGCGGTCTTCATGTTGAACAGCAGAGAGTCTCCACTCTGACTCATCGGCTCTGAATCCACCAGCAGTAACATGTCAGTCCAGAGACACGTGACTGTTCGGACTGATGGAAAAAATATTCTTGCTGCTCTGCGGGAGGTTTTTACATTATTGCACATGTCAGCAGTTGAGCGGTGCTCAGTCATGACCTTCCTCTCTGCACCTCATTACATGCTGTGAGGTCACTGGCTGAATGTAAAACAGTCCACTCCATCATGTTGATTAGACTCCTGCAGTCACGCTGCATCCTCTTTAATTTCATGCCTCAGCTGGACGGACTGTGGCTGCACCACTCAGGACACACACTTTACTAACTAACTCATTTCAGTCTGAAACAGCAGAGAGAACGTTGAGTGTTGTTGTTGTTAACAGATCCCACAAAGAGTTCAAAAACCATAACATCTTAGTCCTTGAGCTAAACGTTGTCCCTGAGGTTTGGTGACTGGTGACAAAAAGGATGGAAGCACCTTTAACTATATCAAGAGCAATGACAATTGCAAAGAATGTGGATTTTCTGTTGCGTAAATAAGACACTGCGTTTAGGGAGCAGGCGGAGAAAAGGCCTTACTACAACAGACCGAATCCAGGAAGTAAAGCAAACGTTGAAGAAGAGTACACTTGCAAGATAAATGTGACACTTTCTAATGTCACAATGGAGGGACAACTACGCAGGTTGATTTTAGCGCTGCTCATCGTGGACTATAATGCTGTCATTGTTCATTTTAGTCAAACCATACAGTTTGAAAACGAGGCGCGGCTCCAACTAGAAAACAATGTTTTGATGCATTGGATGTGCTGAATGTGCATATTAAGGCAGTACAGGAGGAGGTGCACATTAATAATCCTCCAGGACTGTAACATGCTCATGTTTAACCCAAACAATGAGTCAAGTGACTGCAGTTGCTTCAAATCCAGGTCGAAACACCTTCTCACCACAAACCAACCGCACCAGAGTTCCTTTGGAACCGGACTGAGACCACCTCTTCAAGAAGGTCTCAGTCTGGTTGTTTTGGTGTGTTCACACCTGCACAAAGGAACCGCACTGAGGGGGCAAATGAACTTGAGCTCGAGTGAACTGAACCAAACAGGGCAGGTGTGAACACAGCCTTAGGGAGAGTCACACCAGCCACAGCTCTGAGAAACAAACCAGAATCTTCCTCTACAGTACAGAAGCGATGAACACTCTGGTTTCATCTCTGTGGAAGCAAATGCACATGACTTATAATTTGTATTTTTGTTTTGCTGAACTGTTGATAGGCTTTTTTCTTTCTATTTCCTGACATAGTGACAATGTTTAATACAAATTTGAATAAATATTTTGTTAAAAAACAAAACATATTTCTACATATTTTTTATACTGTCAAATTTTATAATTGATATTATGTCTTTACAATGCGTTTGTTTTTGGGCACCAAATCACAAGACAGGGCGTACAGCTTGGCGATACGGGATCACAGTAAAACGTATGTCGATGATGATGATGATGATGAACTGCAGTCATTTTTACTGGATATGGACCGACACAGATGGATCAGAACAGCGTGTCATGCAGCAGAAGGTAACAGACAGCTGTCAGTCAGTCTGCAGTGTTGCGGTCATTAGCGTCATTGTACACGCCCATTTTTCACTGCAAAGTTTGTGCTGAGGTGAGGAGGAAGTGAAAGTAGCGTGGACATGAAGAAAAGAGGTGAAAATGAGAGGAAGTGAGGAGCGAAGTGGCGGTGACACCGAAGAAGAGCTCGAGTTATCCTCAAAAACAGACGAAACTGTAGATAAAAAAGGTCACGTCAATAATTTGGAAGTGGTTTGGCGTCTTGAAAGGTGACGACACACGGACAAAGACGGGCTGTAAAATATGTCGTCGGTTGGGGCCAACCAGGACGGGAAACACAACAAACCTAAAAGGTGGCGTCCCAGCGACGACACTGAGAGCATGAAAATCTGCCCAAACTGCAGTAAGTCCACCAACAAGTGTTCAACGGCCGAGCACTTCTGCTGCTGTGGGCGGGGCCAGCGGGGCGGCACCAAAACACCAATCAGTTGTGTCCTGTTTTGCCGCCGTAACCCCGTATGAGAGGGGATGGCAAAGGAGCAGAGACATAACAGACGCAGTGTCGTACTTTCTAGCCAGAGACATGACGCCCATGAGCACCGTGGAGAAAGACGGGTTCAAGAAACTAATCAAAGTGTGAGGCTGCAGGTACGAGCTCCCAGGCAGGAAATGTGTTTCTCACACTGCTCTGTCACAGCTTTACGATGAGCACTGCAGGAAGCTGGAAAATCATTTGGTCTCTTCAGATGTCAGACGTCATCAAGACACTTTTCAAACTCGCAGCACCTTCAGATTAAATACCGTGATAAATACTGATATCGATCAATAAAGAGAAAATTATCATGATAGTATTTTTTGCCATATCGCCCAGTCCTAGCGGAGCGGCTGAAGCTCAGTCCAGGGGGACTTAGCTTGGGAACCAGAGGGTCGCCGGCCCAAGTCCCCGTACGGACCAAGGCTGCGAACACTCCTGTCCATGGCAGCCCGCTCAGTCTGACATCTCTCCATTTAAGGCATGAATAGGTCCTGCTTGTGCATGTGTGTGTATTTGTGTGTGTGTGTGTATTTCGGGCTTGTGTGCCTGTATGACGACAGAGTGAGAAAAACTAAATTTCCCCTCAGGGATTAATAAAGTGTTTCTTCCTCTGTCTGTCTTTCTCTCGTATGAGCGACTGAGCTGACAATAAAACGGGACACAGCAACACACACTGTCGGTCGGCTGCTGTTTAAGGTGAATAAAAATCCACTGACCTCGTCGACGTTCTCAAAAGCGTTGATGACATCATAAGGCAGGCAGGACAGCAGGTCGATGACGAACCAGGTCTTGACATAGTTCATGCGGATAAGTTTGGGGTCAGAGATGACCTCCCCGGCCGGGCCGACGAAGGTGGTGTGGAAATTGAGGACGATGTCGACGAGGAAGATGACGTCCACGATGCTGTCCACCACTAGCCAGGTGACGTTGTTTTGCTTGGTTTTGAAGGAGACATTGTAGGGCACCATGATGGCGGTGTAGAAGGTGAGGATGAGGATGACCCAGTCCCACGTGGTCTTGAAGAGGCAGTAGTGCAGGATGATGTGCGGCGGCGTCTTCGGGGTTTCCTGTTTGTACTGGGGCAAGATGTCTGAGCCCAGCTGGAGAACCTGAGACAAATGTTGAAACAACCACATAAATTCTGTTTTTCTTTGACTTTTAACATTTTTATTTTACAGAAGAATATTTAAATATTTGTTGTGTTTACTTTGTTTCTGTGTTTTATGTCATTTGATGTGTTGAAACCAGTTATTTGTTCCAGTAAAAAAAAAAATAAAAAAATAAAATGAAGTTAAATGAAACTTAATTGAAAGCTGGGTAAGATCAAGACCTTTGACAGTTTAGGGCGTCTGCATTAAAGACAGACAACAGGTTTTATGACAATCAGACAAACACTCATTCATTTATGTTTAAATCTCTACCAAGCCACGCCCCTCTTTGAAAGCACTGTCACTTCCTGTTGGTCAACTGCAGAAACATTTTGGGGACATGCTCTAATGGTTAAAACAAAGTGAACAGAGTTTGGTGATGTTTGAACAAACCCTCATTGATTTATGGTCAAACTTTGCAAAAGCTTGTTGCACTTGTTTGCAACTGTGGCGCCCCCTATTGACTCATTTCAAAATAAATTATCACAGATGGTTCATCATTATTATCTAACATATCCTGTAAGTTCTGTAAAGATTGGAAAATCAATTTCTGTTTATAATCTGATTTGTGTTATCACACGCCCATTTTTGTATTTGTGCTGCCCCTAGTGGTCAATTTGAATGAAACTTTATGGATATGTTCCTTGTATGTGTTAAGACATTGCTTGCGAGGTTTGTGATGATTGTCCCAAAGGTTGTTGAGTTACGTGTTAAGCCACGCCCCCATCTAGAGTTCATTGGTCAGTATCTGCAGAAAGCAATGAGATATCAACCAGCTTTTCACAACTACTGATGAGCTTGAGCAGATGATGACCAACAGAAAGGTTGGTACAAATCAGACCTACGGCTTTGGAGGAAATGTCAAAAATGTGTTTTTCAAAAAGAAAGAAAAAAATCAAAATGGTGGAAAATTTCACAGTGACCCTTTTCGACTATGGATCCATGTGCACATGTTGTTTAACATTCTTTTTACTGTTAAAAACGAGTCTGTCCTGAATGAACAGGCGTCATGTTTCCTGAACAGCATTTGCACAACTTCCAATCATTGGTGAACATTTTATTTGTCTCTGATGTAATTTGTGAAAACCTTTCTGAAGAAAAAAATAAAGTCAAAGCAAAAACAACAGGGTTAAAACTCTTTGGGTTTGAACCCTAATAAACTCCACACAGCAGCTCTGAAACCAGCCGTTCAATCAGCAAAGATAATAAACTCATCGACAGCTGATGAAAATGTGACTGATCTTTGATTTAATTTCGTTGTCTCCTGTGTGAGTCCGCTCAGCCTCAGGGAGGAGGAGCATCCTCTGCAGCCGACGCACACTCAAGTTATCTTCACTTCCTGTCTGCACCACAGCATCTCTACTCCATGTTTGTTTGTGTGTGTGTGTGTGTGTGTGTGTGCGTACGAGTGGTGCAGCAGCCTGACACTCAGACAGCAGCATAAAAACAGTGAGGTAACAGTTACAGGTAAAAGAGCCGGAGCTTCTCGAAACTATGGTTGTTAATAATTTAGAATGGTAGCCCGTTTATTACCAGGAGATTAACGGGATTAAAGTTTCACACATCTGTGGGAAAAAGTGTGTATCAAAAGATCAATTTTGGATTTTCTGAATCGAAATCGGGTCATTGAAATGAAGATCGATTTGAACTGGATGAATCAATTATTTTAACCCAGCCCAAAGCATGATGTTGGGATTGGTACTGAAGGTAGAAAACTTATTTTAAACATAAACTTCATCTAAACCAGGCCTGCCCCCCAGGTGCTGTCAGCAAACCAGAGAGAACCTGTGTGTTTACGTTACTAAAGTTTTGCTCCTCCCTTGGACAGAGGTGTGTGTGAGACTACGTTTGGACGACTGGACAAATATTTTCACGACTCAAAAGCCGGCACGAGCCAGGCTAAAAATACAAGTTGATGCAAAGCGGAACAATTCTTGCAAATAGAAATCAAGATTCAATTACACTCAGTGGCCACTTTATTAGGTACACCTTGCTGGTACCAGGTTGGACCCCCTTTTTAATTCTTGGTGTCACAGACTCAACAAGGTGCTGGAAACATTCCTCAGAGAGTTTGGTCCATATTGACATGATGACATCACACAGTTGATCCATGATGAGAATCTCCCGTTCCAGCACATCCCAAAGGTGCTCTATTGGACTGAGATCTGGTGACTGTGGCGGCCATTGGAGTACAGTGAACTCATTGTCATGTTTGAGATGATGTGAGCTTTGTGACATGGTGCGTTATCATGCTGGAAGTAGCCATCAGAAGATGGGTACACTGTGGTCATAAAGGGATGGACACGCTCAGCAACAATACTCAGGTAGGCTGTGGTGTTTAAACCATGCTCAGTTGGTACTAAGAAAATCTCCCCCACACCATTACACCACCAGCAGCAGCCTGAAGCGTTGATACAAGGCAGGATGGATCCATGCTTCCATCTGAATGTGGTTTTTCCAATCTTCTATTGTCCAGTTTTGGTGAATTGTAGCCTCAGTTTCCTGTTGTTAGCTGACAGGAGTGGCACCTGGTGTGGTCTTCTGCTGCTGTAGCCCATCTGCTTCAAGGTTGGACAAGGTGTTGTTGCTTCAGAGATGCTCTTCTGCACACCTTGGTTGGAACCAGTGCTTATTTGACTTCCTGTTGCCTTTCTATCATCTTGAACCAGTCTGGCCATTCTCCTCTGACCTCTGGCATCAACAAGGCATTTTGGCTCACTGGATATTTGCTCTTTTTGGGACCATCCTCTGTAAACCCTAGAGATGGTTGTGCTGAAAATCCCAGTAAATACTCAGACCAGCCCGTCTGGCACCAACAACCATGCCACGTTCAAAGTCACTTCAATCACCTTTCTTCATCATTCTGATGCTCCGTTTGAACTTCAGCAGCTCGTCTTCATCATGTCTACATGACTAAATGCACTGAGGTGCTGCCACGTGATTGGCTGATTAGATATTTGCTTTAACAAGCAGTTGAACAGGTGTACCTAATAAAGTGGCTGCTGAGTGTATATGAAAAAATATGCATTGGTTTAATTAAGATTTTTTGATTTAATAATACTTGATATATTTAATTTGTTCAAAAGGAACTTTTTTATTTGGGACAAAACTAAAGAAAAATAGATGTAACATGTCAGTTTAATTTTTTTACTTTCATCCAAATTCTCATTTTTTTCAGTGTGTGTGAAATAAGTGATAATAACTTGTCGCTCATGAAGCACTTTAAAAATAAAATATCTTAATATGACAAGCGTCCAAACAGTGACAACAGATTTCTTCATTAGTGCCAACAGTAATTATTTTCTCTGTGAAGTTAATGGAAAGATTAGTCACAGTTAATTACAGCTGAAGAACTTCTCAGCAACATGACGCCTGCCAGCAGGGTGCTGCTGTTTATAAAGTGCACTTAAAGGGATAGTGCACCCAAAAATGTAAATTCAGCCATTATCTACTCACCCATATGCCGAGGGAGGCTCAGGTGAAGTTTTAGAGTCCTCACATCACTTGCAGAGATCCAAGGGGAGAGGAGGTAGCAACACAACTCCACCTAATGGAGGCTGACGGCGCCCCAGATTCAAACGTCCAAAAACACATCATTGAAACCACAAAATATCTCCATACTGCTCGTCCGTAGTGATCCAAGTGTCCTGAAGCCCCGACATAAAAAGTTGTTTGGAAAAACATCATTTGAACTCTGTTTTTAGCCTCATTGTAGCCTGTAGCTCTGACTGCCTCTCTGGGCACCGCGCTCACATGTGTGCGAGACCAGTGAAAGCACGTGAACACACATGAAGGTGGTGCCCATGTCTCACGGTCTCACATGAGCGCGGTGCACAAAGATGCAGTTAGAGCTACAGGCTACACTGGCTGCGGTTACATGATGGCTTCTCATTCAGAATGAAATAAATCTGAATGAAATCATTCTGAATTAAAGTCTTTCCAGGTAGTTTACATGAGAAATATTCATTCTGAATGAGGGTTTACACAGAGATCAGTTTAATCGCCTGTATTCAAGTTCGCGCAAGGTTTGGGGCAGGGAAGATTTCTGATTGGATAGGGGGCGGGGCGGATGTTACGTGTTTACGTTTACTGGAAGAAAACACTGTAGTCCTCGCTCCGGATAACAAGATGCTTGACGACGCCGTTCTTAGTGTCTTTTTTGGGCGTGTTTTGCTGATATTCTTGAAGCAGCAGTACGACAACAACCTTGTTCTGCTAATGCTTCGTCTGTTGAGGAGGAGAAGGGAGGTAGAAGGTCGAAGAAGGGAGGTAGAAGGCCGTGCTGTGGAGAATGGAAACCGGTGAGTGCAACGAGTCCGACTGCTCTATCTCAGCCTGTTGCTATGCGCACTGTATACGTCATGGCGCGAGAAGGGCAAGGAAACGAGCATGTGCAGAAAGACCGGAATGAACTTAAAGAGGAATGAGTGTATACAAGTGTGAGAAATTCTTTCATTTGGAATTAGAAACAGAATATTCCAGCCCCTTACATCGGATTGAATTTTCAATCACACTGGCCATTTTCATTCTGAATTAGGTGTTTACAAGATCACTTTTAATAGGAATGAACTTTCATTCAGAATGAAAAGGGAATTAAACTGTCCATGTAAACGCACTCAGGCTGAGGCTAAAAACAGAGTTCAAATGAGGTTTTTCCAAACAACTTTTTATGTCGGGGCTTCAGGACACTTGGATCACTATGGACGAGCAGTATGGAGATATTTTGTGGTTTCAATGATGTGTTTTTGGACGTTTGAATCTGGGGCGCCGTCAGCCTCCATTAGGTGGAGTTGTGTTGCTACCTCCTCTCCCCTTGGATCTCTGCAAGTGATGTGAGGACTCTAAAACTTCACCTGAGCCTCCCTCGGCATATGGGTGAGTAGATAATGGCTGAATTTTCATTTTTGGGTGCACTATCCCTTTAACACATTTTACTTCTTATCTTGTGAAACAACAAGTCATGAAGGATTTCTATTGTTCCGCAGCTTGTTGGCTCAACTGGCAGCGACACTAAGCAACACGGGGCCAACACACGCCCACACACTGAAGGTCAATTAAAGCAATGAAAAGAAAAAAACCTGTTAAGTTTAAAATAAATGCTAACACAGGACGCCTCAGCCGAGTTCCTCCACCAGCTGCTGAGAGTGTCGTCTGTTTTCTGACGCACTGACGCAACTGACTTCAAGTTTTGATGATTTAACACTTCTGAATTCTGTTTTTACTTTTTTTTTTAATCTTCATACAGAGATTATTGTTGCTGCTGTAGTGCACGAGGAGCTGTGATCTCACCTCAGCCAGCCGTGAGTGTTTGTGGACGTTCTCTCCTTTTTGGACAGCCGGAGCGAGCTGCTGAAGAACTCCTCGACTGCTCGTCAACGCACGAGTCAGACGGGCGAATTTACCCCAACCTGGCAACCACAAACAACAAAGGTTACGATATTTTAACTCTAGTTCTATTAGCACAGGCGGAGCCCTCTTCTGGACTCTTTGGGTAATACTCCTCCAGTCATGAGCACACGTTCACACACTGAGATCTGAATAAATAAATGTAGCCAGCCAATCAGGAGGTGCCTACCTGAATCCGTGTGGAACTCACAGTATGTAAATAGGTGGCTCGCTGCCGTCAGACATTCTATACACACTTCAGCAAGAGGCGTAGGAATGACAGGTCCCCTTGGTAGAGGGGGAATATTGTAACACTCATTCTTCTATCTCACACAGGCTCCACCCCCTAATGGACTCTTTGGGTACAGTGGGTAGAGCCCGATGAATGAATGCCCTTGACCCAGCCACACTGATCCTGGCCCCTGACCGGCTCAAGGTTAGTTGTTGAAGCCTGCCTACTTCTTTATTACCCAGGCGGCCGCTGTGGAGAAGTGGGGGCCCCAGCTAACACATGTGGTGAACAACCGAACTGGGCAGAGCTTTGGCGGAGCTTTCATCCTGCAGGGGTTGAAAGGTAAGCACAGACACCCTGAACATCACATTTCCTGCATCATCAAGGTGCACGGAAACATGTTGGTGTATCAGGTGCGACACAGCTGACATCAGAGTCCTGCACGCGTCCACGTTTTAAAACCTGCACCCACCCATACCGTATAGCTCTGGGTATAACAAGCGCTACCACCAGTTTTTCCTCCATTATTACAAACTGTTAACTTGATGTAGTGACCACCACAGAAGGCCCGGCTCTCAAATCATCCCATTGCACAATGGGGAAAAAGCGGAGATGATGTGGGGCACTTTTCCGAGTTGAAGTCCCAGTTCAGAGTGCTCCAGCTAAACACGCAAAGCGTGACGCTACTGTGGCTTGATAATAGTGATTTAGCTGTCAAAATAATGGAGGCACAGTGGTGCAGTGGTTAGCATTGTCGCCTCACAGAAAGAGGGATCCTAGTTCAAACCCAGGGTGGGGGAGCCCCTCTGTGTGGAGTCTGACATGTTCTCCCTGTGTCAGCGTGGGTTTCCTCCAGGTGCTCCGACATGTTCTCCCTGTGTCAGCGTGGGTTTCCTCCAGGTGCTCCGACATGTTCTCCCTGTGTCAGCGTGGGTTTCCTCCAGGTGCTCCGACATGTTCTCCCTGTGTCAGCGTGGGTTTCCTCCAGGTGCTCTGACATGTTCTCCCTGTGTCAGCGTGGGTTTCCTCCAGGTGCTCTGACATGTTCTCCCTGTGTCAGCGTGGGTTTCCTCCAGGTGCTCTGACATGTTCTCCCTGTGTCAGCGTGGGTTTCCTCCAGGTGCTCTGACATGTTCTCCCTGTGTCAGCGTGGGTTTCCTCCAGGTGCTCTGACATGTTCTCCCTGTGTCAGCGTGGGTTTCCTCCAGGTGCTCTGACATGTTCTCCCTGTGTCAGCGTGGGTTTCCTCCAGGTGCTCTGACATGTTCTCCCTGTGTCAGCGTGGGTTTCCTCCAGGTGCTCTGACATGTTCTCCCTGTGTCAGCGTGGGTTTCCTCCAGGTGCTCTGACATGTTCTCCCCGTGTCAGCGTGGGTTTCCTCCAGGTGCTCTGACATGTTCTCCCCGTGTCAGCGTGGGTTTCCTCCAGGTGCTCCAGCTTCCTCCCACAGTCCAAAGACATGCAGGTTAACTGGTGACTCTAAATTGTCCGTAGGTGTGAATGTGAGTGTGAATGGTTGTCTGTCTCTATGTGTCAGCCCTGTGATAGTCTGGTGACCTGTCCAGGGTGAACCCTGCCTCTCACCCAGTGTCAGCTAGGATAGGCTCCGCCCCCCCGTGACCCCTAACAGGATAAGTTGTTATAAAAAATGAATGAATGTCAAAATATTACACATATACTGCACATCTTTTCACTTTGTTTTATTCTGAAAAATAAAGAACAGATCAACCACTGCCCACCCACATGTACTTCATTTTTACCTGTGACTGTGAATTTATATGTATATATTTCTGTTTTTTTACCCATTACACAGCTTTTTGCATGTTACCCACGGGTACCTGTCCGGTGCTGGCCTGTGTCGTTCTAGTGAGCACAGACCCTGAAAAGGAGCCCGACATGTCCAAGAGATAGAACCATATGAAGGGGTCAGGCGTACTCCACAACACTGCCGCGCACAAGTCCTCAACACTCACCCTGCTGAACAAGGTTGCCGACACTGCCAAACCACATATTGAGCATGTGCAGACCACAGTGGAAGGGACTGCGCACTCATAAAGCCATCTCGCATGGCGTTTCTTGGACAGGACCTTACCGGCCACACCATCACCAAACCACACAGCTGTTCAGTGCGTCTGATGGGGCGGTGCCTTCAACACAACATGCCAACACACAGAGTGAGCCGAGCAGATGCAATATCTGCCTCCCTGTCCTCCTCATGGGACAGAGGACAAAGAGCATCTAACTATCGACCTGCTCAGTGTGCCTCTCACTGTCGCTGAAGAGATGAAGGATGTCTGACAGCAGCAAGCCGCCTCCTTATACATGTTATACAACATGTATTCAGGTAGGCACCTCCTGATTGGCTGGCTACGTTTATTCAGATGTCAGTGTGCTTGTGATTAAAATCCAGCTGAGGGCGGAGCCTGTGTGAGATAGAGCATATTGACAACAGGATTTCTTTGTAAACTAACAGGAAACACTGTTATTTGCCCTGACGCCACACTGCCAACAGCCAATAGGATCGAAGTCTGGAAACTTCTCCTTCTCTTTATTTCCAACACAGTTAATCAGCGTGAACAAAGATACTGCAGTTACGAACTGATGGTAGTCCCACCCACCTTTTGAAGAGTCGTCCTCGATTGGCTGCTTGAAAGCGGTGATGTCACTGAAAGTGCAGAGAAAGAGGACCACTTTGTCCTGCTCGTTTCGGATCGGTGCAATCTTCACGAAAAACCAAACTGGCATCCCTGCAGAATGAATTCACACACACGCGCACACACACACACACACACACACACACAGAAAATCACTCTGATGTTCGTCACAAAAATGATCCGTCAGAACTCAACACATCCCAACGTATTCTCACTCCTGACCTCGTCACATATCACCACTTGGTCAGGGGACTTTACACATGACATGCAAGGTGTCCTGGCTGCGTCTGTTGTTGATGTTCTGGGACGCCAAGTCAATTTATGCCGGCCGCATGCATTATGTCTTTTCAAAAACACCTTCTATTTATGTTCATTTACTTGTGCAACAAAAGCACATAGTTGAGTTTTGGAACAAACATCATGGTGAAAGTCTGCTGTTGTTGGACCCGTCCACCTCCCTCCTGCCCGCCCTGCAAAGAGCACCTTAAATTTCATTGTTGTCCAGCAGCGTTTCAAACTGACACCGCCCAGCAGTGTATCAAAGGAGGCCTGTTTTTTGTCGGTGCCTGACGCTAACATTACTGACCAAGCAGTGGTATCTGACGACTTTAGAATGAGAACAGGAAGTGACAGGGAGGTTTGGAGTTCCAGGTCTTAAAAAGATTAGAAAGATATATATGGTCTCCTCCCGGTTGGACATGCCCGAGACACCTCCCAATATATATTTATATATATATATATATATATAAAGCCCCTACATGATGCATAATACTGTCAGGTAGAAGAAGTGGCTGATATCAAGAAGACCTACCAGTGGCAGGAGAGTGCTGCACTGACAGACAGCACAGAGACACTAATCATGGCAGCACAAGAACAGGCCCTAAGCACAAGGGCCATAGAGGCCAGGGTCTACCACAGCAGATCAGACCCAAGGTGCAGGCTGTGCAAAGATGCCCCTGAGACGGTCCAGCACATAGTGGCAGGGTGTAAGATGCAGGCAGGATCAGCGTACATGGAGAGGCACAACCAAGTGGCTGGGATAGAGCACAGGAACATCTGCACCCAGTATGGACTCCAAGTACCCAAATCCCGATGGAACACACCACCAAAGGTGGTGGAGAACAACAGGGCTAAGATCCTGTGGGACTGCAGCTTCCAGACTGACAAACAGCTGCTGGCTAACCAACCGGACATAGTGGTGATTGACAAACACCAGGTGAGGGCAGTGGTGGTGGATGTGGCAATACCAGCCGACAGCAACATCAGAGAGAAGGAACACGCAAAGGTGGAGAAGTATCAAGGGTTGAAAGAACAGCTGGAACAGATGTGGAAGGTCAAAGTTGACCCCCATAGTAGTAGGAGCACTCGGGGCAGTGACCCCCAAACTGACAGAGTGGCTCCGGCAGATTCCAGGAACAAAATCTGAAGCCTCAGTCCAGAAGAGTGCAGTCCTAGGAACAGCTAAGATACTGCGCAGAACCCTCAAACTCCCAGGCCTCTGGTGGAAGACCTGAGCAGGAGGGTGACACAGATACAGATGCCACCCTGAGAGGGTGACAGGGTGATTTTTTTTTATAATTATAAACACGCCTGTTTTTATGTTTAAACATCAGCTAGTTACTTTTAATCATGAACAAAATTAACAGACACTGACATCCCTGGACACACCCTCTAGTATGATAAAACCAACAGAAGTGTTGAGAGTGCAGCCAAAGATCACATGACCTGAGGAGTCCTGAATGGTTTTAGTTACTGTTTGCTGATGTGCCATCACCAGTTAGACCAGTGTAGAGTTCTTAAGGCCCTGATACACCGATTCTTTATTTATTTCATTTTTTATTTAACCTTTATTTAACCAGAAAAACCTCTTGTGATTAAAAATCTCTTTATCAGGAGCGTCCTGGCAGAGACAGGCAGCAACGTAAGTTACAGACAGACAACACAGAACAAATGTTGAATCTGCCACAGAGATGGCAGAGACTGTCTGTGAATGACATCACTCTGACTGGCAGTTCAGCGTACAGGAGGAGAAGCGTCAGTGAGTAAAGGAGGGTCCAGAGGGAGTGAGACCAAAACCAACTTGTCAGGTCAGATTATTTTTCTCTTTAGCAGAAACATTTCCTGATGGAAACGGTAAATATGCTCTGATTGTGTTGTTAATGTGCTAACTGGCTAACTAGGGAAACTTCCTGTTTCCCTTTTTGAATGAGGATTACAGACGACCGCTGTCTGCTGGTGTGGAGACTTATTTCCTTTCACACAGGGGCAAACCGTACGAGCTGGTTGGCTGTTAGCTGTAGTCTCTGGGGTGTGTTCGTGTAAACTCTTTGGCCGAGACACAGGCAACATGAGGCAACGCAGCAGGGGGCCTTCATTGCTGCTAGTTCTCTGAGGTCTGGGCCTTTAGTCTAGAACCTTCTGAGTCTCTGAACCAACTGGGAGAAGCTCTGATCTTCTCTGGCTCTTAACTGGTCCGACCCAGTCTCCCACTGGTCTGTTCAGCTCTCAGCAGTGCCTTCTCAGTACGTTTCTCTCTGGTTGATTATCAGCACTCGGTGGAGACACTGACATAAATTGAAATCTGATCTTTGACTGTTGTCGAGTCGCAGAGATCAGCCTCAGAGTCTGTGTTGTTTACAGCACTGTGTTTTTACACAGTGTGTTGTTTACTGGCTGCACAGCGTGCGCCATCTTGGTGCCAATTTGAAATGAAGCGGAAACCACACCCAGCTCACTCTGTGCCCGTCAGGTTTCGGAGCACACCACCTGTGATCAGCAATGTTTATATGGAGCTCAGTGATCAGCAGAAAACAGCACAGAGGAAACCTGCGACTGCTCTCAGTGATTAAATTCACATCTCGTCAAGTCTGCTGTTCAAAGACGACCTGACGACCAAGGCTGTTTTTTAAAACATATTTTTATTGCCATTTTCTGAAGGAACAGAGCGATCAATATGTCATAATTAACCACTTGAGTCACTGTCAGCTGAGACGAATAAAGAAAAGGAAGAACTAAAAAAATAACACTACTACAGTTCTGACCGAGCAATCTGATTGGACAGGATATATTGCACGAGTGCTGATATACAGTATGACAGCACTGGGACTTTTAACTCTGCATGTATCACTGCACCTTACAGGTGCTCTGAACCGTTAATCACATTAACCATTGATTAGCAGACATTCAGAGAGGAACTTATTTCCACAAACAACAAACTTCAATTCACTTTGGAAGAAGACACAGCGTCCTGATTAAGCTGTTAACCCACCAGCATCACACACGCCGCCAAGGTGACTGTCAACAGACTGATTTCACTGGTCGATAGCTAAACACAGACACACAGATGTAGCCTACATGATACACAGCAGCTGGTCGGTGGTAATGTGTCGACCTACACAGAGCAGCGAGCTGGTGTTCAGGAGTGTTTGTGTGTTGCTTGGCAACAGTTCTGGTGTCTAGATGTGAAACTATTTGTGTGGGCGGAGCCATCATTAAATAAAACATATCATGACCTGTTGTCACTTTTTTTGCTGTTAATAAACTGTTACTGTATACACTCGAGGCCGTGCTGTTGGACTGAAGATCAGCGCTGCAGCCTCGTCCCTACAACTGAATCACAGCTGTGCTGATATTCAGTCCAACAGCACGACCTCGAGACGTCTGACTGTAACGCTGACAGGAAGTGACCACCACGAGACGGCGTATCATCTCTAGTCAACAACTCTCTGTGCTTCCGTTCTGATTTGCAGCTTTTCAGACTTATTTTGTGGCTGAATATAATTTGTAGCTTCTTAAAATCTGAATGAGGATAGTGATAGTGAGATACTGGCTACAGTGATGAAACAAAACCAGCATCAGATGGACTGTATTCATAATCAATACGCCACAATAATATAAATAACCAGCGCCAATTCATCAGCCAGTGAGAATGTGTGTGTGGGCGGGGCATAAGCACATACAGCCAGCAGCAGCAGCAGCGACCCACCGTCTGACACCGGCACACTGTGAGGACAGAAACTCACAGGGCTCTGTGGGGACGGAGCACCTGCTGCAGCAAGCCAACACTTGACCAGCGGACTTCACTACAAGCTGATTGGCTGTTGAAACAGGTGACGTGCTTTAAAACCAGCCGCCGGCCATTTGACCAGCTGAGTGTCAGGTGACATCATCAGCCGGCTTGAGTCGAGCTCAGACCGGCCAGTTCACACTGCTGACACTTTTCTCTGCCATGTTCTCAAACAGTTTTGTCTCGTCGTGAATCTTTGGTCTGAACTGGACTTCACATGCTGCAGATTTATAAAGGATTCAGGCTGAAGTAGAGTTTTTCCTTCTCAACAGTGAGATCGATGGTCGTGGTGAAAACAATTTCATCCGTGAAAATAAAAAGGAGTGATTGCCCCCGTCTGTATAAACCCTGTGTTTTCCTCTGCATGGTGCTGTGTTGTTTATGGAAATGAAAATAAATTAAAGCAGCAGTGAATGAGTGAATCTGCTGACTCATTAAGCTCCAGTCTGTCAGAGAGCTCTGTCTTTTACCAACTGCCTCTGTCACTGACAGGCCGCCAACTGTCAGCACGCTGTGTCCCAGTTTAGGAGAGAAACTGGGTCTCGAGGTCTCGAGGTCCGTGAGTTTCTGGGTTTTTGGGAGATTCAGGTCAGGCAAAGCACCTGTAGCACAGAGTATGTCACATCTGCAGTACTGTTAAAAAACTGAAGTACTCACGGTTTTTCTTGTACATCAGAATCTCAAAGGAGTTCATCTCGTAGTTCTCAAAGGTCTGTCGAACCTTTTCAGTCATCTCCTTGTCAGTCAGCTCTCCGTACATGAAGCTGCAGGAGAAAACACAGTCCTGATACACCCACCATCTTACTGGTTACTGGTGCGGCAGCAGCGTGTGTTCAAGTGTGCAGCTGTACCTGCAGGTGCTGCTCTTCTGCATCACCTCAGCTCGATGGTAACCGGACAGTTTGCAGAAGCCGTCGTTGCTGTAGACGATGGGCCAGTCCACGATCTGAGCGTTCCCCAGCACGAAGTTGGTATCTGACCACAGAAACCAGTGGGTTACAATCAGCCCAGCTCAGTGCATCACACAACAAAACAAGTTCAGAGCATCAAACATGTGGAGATGTTTTAATGCAGCAATTTACAGATCACTACAAACACAGTATGCTGTGTTTTAAAAGAAATAAGTAGTCACACAGTGAGAAAATGAAAACATGTATAGAAATTAAAAAAGAATTGATGCAGCAACATCATCAAATCAAATCGTTGCCCTCTGTATCGTAACCAAATGGAATCGTGAGGTGCCTGGACATTCCCACCTCTAGAGTTCATGGCGACATGTTTAAATGTCTTCTTTTATCCAGCAATCGCTCATAATGCTGAGCAGAAGGTAAGAAAATATCCAGAAGATAAACCAGTGGGATTAAAAATAAGTAACTGACTGATTGCCAATTAATTTTCTGGTGACAGACAAAAAGATTGATCACCTAAGTGCTGCAGCTCTGCAGTGGGGCTGAGCCATACGGACAAAAATTCATATCTCAGCATTTACAGGCTGAGCAGAGACACACGATATATATCTTAGTATTTCTACACAGTGGGCGACATGTTTTCAGCCGCAGGTCAAAGCCACACTGGAGACGTCACAAGCACTTCTATAAAAACAGACTGTGATCCATCCATCCATCAATCCGTCCATCCATCCATCTGTCCATCCATCCATCCATCCATCCATCTGTCCATCCATCCATCCATCCATCCATCAATCCGTCCATCCATCCATCCATCCATCCATCCATCCATCTGTCCATCCATCCATCCATCCATCAATCCGTCCATCCATCCATCCATCCATCCATCCATCCATCTGTCCATCCATCCATCCATCCATCAATCCGTCCATCCATCCATCCATCCATCCATC